TACGGTGCTCCCTCCCCGGGACAGAGCAGAGCGGTGGGAGATGGGATGGGTGACAGGCGATGCCTGGGCCCTGTCCCGCTCCCGACACGGGTGGGGAGCCAGGGATGCTCCGGGAGGGACTGCAGGTGTGCGCCAGGGCCAGCACCTGGTCTCGGAGTAGGCTCAGCAGGCCTGGAGGGGAAACCGGTGACCCATCGAAACAGGCCGGAGCTCTTCTTCCTTGCTGTACATTGATCCGTTTTTTTTCAATTGGCCAATGCGTTTCTATTGAGTAAGTCGTATTCCTGACTCCAGAAAATGTGTGACGCTTCAAACTTTGTCCTGTTCCAGCTCTTGGGTGTAGTTTGAAAAATAACTAACGGTTTGTCACTAACTGCGTGAAGAGCATCAAAAATTTTATTTCCTTCGTGTGCTTTTCTACTGCTGTGTGTGCTTGGTATTCTGTCACGCTGAGCTGAAATTAATTAGCTTTATTTTATTCTGTACAGGACGCTATTTGAGTGTTGTTATGAACGCTCATGAATTCTAGGAAGGCTTTGAAATGGGGCAGGGTAACGGCAACATCAGAATAATTGAGATCTAGGAACAGAGATACCAAATGTATTGCTGGAACCAGGGAAACTTCGGTTTTGCTCATCAGTGGCATAATTTATACGCTAGTGATGGGCTTGCAGTCCTCTGCACGTATCGGTGGGATCTGATCGCTAAAGCTCAGGACTGAGACTTGAAGACCTGGATTCTTACTTCAGACTATCCCATCTATGGACCTGTTTTTCTTTGCACTTCATTTTTCCCACTGTTTCATTTTGAAAATTCATGTGGGACAAGAATTTGTATTGCTGTTTAATTGCTATAATAGCAATTCTTTTATATGCAAGATTGAGATGAGAATGGGGATTTAAAGGCCAGTGTATACCAGCAGGTGGCATAAAAAAATATTTTGTCTTTTTTTTTTTTAAGAGGCTTTTCCAGTTGGCTTTCCAGAGCCACCCTCAGTTTTGAGGCACGCATGCTGCAGTTACGCTGAGATGCTTCATAGCTAACATCCTCTGTACTTTCTCCGGAGAGCTTAGCAGGGCTGTCAGATGTCTTACTTTGAAAAGCATTCATCCCAAATGCATTTTTTTCTTTCTGATGTTTATTTGGCCTGTCCAACAGCGTGCGACTACCATATCTTTTATGGTGCAGCTAGGTTAATTTGAAGATGTATAAAGAACTTAGTCTCAGGAGAAGTTCTCAAGATATGCTCTGCTCATACCAGAAACCTGACCCGGTATTCCACAGGTGACAAAGTAAGAATTATTTTCCTATATCTAGCAATTAGGAAAATATATCCCTTTGCTTCCTCTTATCCCTAATTCCAAATAATGCACAATTCCAAAATCTGTCTTTAATCATTAACAGGTATCTCACCGTCATCTTGGCAGTTCTGCATTTTATCTGTTAATGGACAATGAGGCTCTGCGCTTTACAGCTGAGATGGCTTTAGGTTTTGTAAATATACAGAGCAAACATGATTGCATGAGGAACGCAGTACGGGCTGTAAGCGTGTGTGCAGGCTGTTGTATCATCTGTGTTTTCCTATGTGTGATGTAGTGCCTCTTGGCTGAGATACTAAATATTGATGTGATGGGACTGGTTGAAAAAAGCATGCTATTCCTACTGCTGGTTTTAAATGGAACACTAATACAAATTATCTCCTTTATACTCAGTAAACAGTATGTTAGGGAGGTTTCTTGAGAGTGCAAGATGCTTTCCTGTTCAGAGGGCTATAGAGGCTAAATATTCCAGTCAATGTCTTATCTGTTGTTTTTTTGGTTTTTTTTCTAAGAGAAAAAACTTCCTAGATGAACACAAAAGTGCCACATGTGTTGACTTTATCTAATGTGCGCGGTGTTGGTGTGCACGCTCTTTGTTTAACCTAGCGGCCTAGTCCGGTGAAGGTTGAGGAGCTTCAGTTGCAGATAAAGTGAACAGCAGTTCTGGTTTCATTCACCTTTCTTTGTCCCTGAGGAACATCACATGGCATGACATAACCATGGGAAATAGCGTATTTAGAGATTAAAATAAGAGCAAACCACAATGTTCCTTACCCATGTGTGTTCTGTTCCAGAACACCTGTTGCAGCCATGATGCCTGTTGCAACCATGATGCCTGACGACACACCGATGTTTGACCCAAATATTCTGCATGAACTCGACTGGAGCGAGAACACGACGACGTTTTCTCCTGCTATTTCTCCTTTAGATCCAGGAGATGGCCTAGTTTTGAGACCACTTTGCACAGCTGATTTGAATCGAGGTAGAATCCTGTTTAATGATCACCACAAACAAAAACTGGGTGCTGAACTAGATAATACGTATTTCTGCGGGATCTCTCAATAGATTAGGATTGCTCATTTTATCTGCTTTGGGTTATTTTTGTCAGTAAGGAATGTGAGCATTTGACACCATGGATTGGTGCTGTGTTGGGTGACCCTCAAAATTGGTTTTATTGTTTTAACCTCAAAAAGAATCTTAAAATTTGAGTCAAATCTTCCAGATAATCCACTGCTTCCTTTTCACCACAGCTTTAGAGAGGGAGTACAGTTGTTCGTACTGTTCTCTTTAATATAAAAGTAACGTGAACCAGCATATTATTCTTAGTGTGTGCAGACTTCTTGAGTGCAGTAACTTGGATGGAAAGATTGTTCTGAACATACAGCTTAATATCGCATAATTTCATGCTTACAGTTTTCTTGCTTGAACGTATGAATCTTCTGCACTCGAGCTGCAGTTTGTTGCTGATGCACGAGCTGATCCTGAGTTTGATTTTTAAGATTACAGTTTAGTTCTAAAATAGGCAGAGCACAGGCTTTTACATACAACTGAATTGGATGGTGCTATGGGGATGTTAGCTCTCCAAACAGCCGTGTCGGGTTGTTCTGCGCTATTTGGAGCTAATTTTGTGTCTCTGTCCCTTGCTGAGGGTTGGTTTCCCACCCCTTCTTTTCTAACAGGCTTTTTTAAGGTTCTGGGTCAGCTGACTGAAACTGGAGTTGCAAGCCCGGAGCAGTTTATCAGTGAGTATATCGTCATTTTTTGGCATTTCCATAGAGGTTGCTGGGAACCAGAGGATACTGATGCTGACAGCGAATCTACTTGGGTGTGAGGCTCCCGACTGCCCAATGCCAGAGGGATTTATTAGTTCAGTTCCCCTGAGGCAGCCTTTGGCACTCGGCGTTGGACCCAGTTGCAGCTATCCCGAAGGGCTTCTTGGCTGGGGCAGGCCTAAATTGTATACCTGGTTTTGAGACTGAGCTTTAGATACCTGGCAGAAGGGACTACCGGATGATGGCTTGTTTTGGCTGAATTATTGCAGCACTGGTAGCGAGGTGGAGGCTTGGCTTTGATCGTAGCTCAGCAGTGTCCTGAGCTTGCCTCGCTGGTTTGACTGAGATCTAAGAAAACTTAAGAGGAGGTGTTGCCACCTCCGTCGTAGCACCCATCTGCAGAGGCGCTGGGGAGGAAAGGTTCTCTTGGCAGCTAAGGAAAAGGCATTTGTTTAATTTCTACTCTTTCCTGGTCTGTCTCTGGGTTAGTCTGACTCCAGGGCTTTCAGGTTCTGGGGCCTGGCGTGCATCTTCCTTCTGATCCTGAACCCTGCAGTGATTGGCATTCAGAATCTGTTGGAAGCGTTAGGCTTCACAGCAATTTCATCTCAGATTAACCGTGACTGTTTCACTGTCTGTCTGCTCCCGCAGAAACCTTTGAGCACATGAAGAGATCTGGAGATTACTACGTTACTGTCATAGAAGACACAAATCTTGGACAGATTGTTGCTACAGCAACGCTGGTTATAGAACATAAGTTCACTCACTCCTGTGCAAAGGTATATTCTCTCGCTGCAGCTGTGAAGTGAAGGAAAAAGATCCTGTCCCCTGACTGCGTGCATGTTATTTTTACGGTGTTACTGTGTGCTGAAGTACCTTCTGCATTCTAAAAATACCTCCCATCCTTGAGTGCTCAGCTAAATAGTAAAAGGAAGCTTTGTTTTTTCTTAAGGAAAAAGAGCAATTTGATGTCTGTCCCATTCTTCCCTACCCCTCCCAGTGAGCTTTTCAACTAGTCAGACTTGGTTCTGACAGAGCAGATGGCTGAGGATCTCACTGCTGTGGAGTCCCAGCCAGACGTGTGAAAAGAGGGAGCTGGAGAGATACAGATCCCTCAGCGGGGAAGGGCTGCGGTGGGACTGCAGCTCCTGCTGGGTGCTGGAAGGGGCATTACGAGCGTGCCGACCACTGGAGGAGGAGTTCTGTCTAAATAGACTGCAGAAAATCCAAGCATGAAATGTAAAAGGAAACGAACACAACCGTGTTCTACTCAACTAACCCTTGCCTGTATTTTCACAGAGAGGAAGGATAGAAGATGTAGTAGTAAGCGGGGAGTGCAGAGGAAAGCAGCTTGGTAAACTGTAAGTATTCTGCCGCCTTTGCCATTCAATAGCAGGCAGGGCAGCAAGCCCTTACCCAGTTGGTTTCTGTTCCCCCACCTTACCACGCTGATGGGTGCCAGCAAACAAAGATTGCTCACCAGACCTCCAAGACGGGGATTTTAGCTCCGCAGGTTAGCTAGGCACGGGAAATTAATTTAGCCAGAAAGTACCGCTAGCGGGCACAGTGCAAGCTGAGGTTCTTATAACAGTACTGTAAAATTGTCTGCAAGGCACTGGTACTTTGTGGTTTTCTTTTTTTTTTTTTTTTTTCCCCTTGGGATAGCAGCTATCCTGTGTAGTGAAGGAAAATGCAGTAAAACTTCAGTATTGTAGGTCTGATAACTTTAGCTAATTAAAAGTTAACTGCTTCGGCAGTCAGGGCCGTTTCATTTAACTGTTAGTTTTCTGTCTTTTTCAGATTAACGTCCACTCTTACATTGCTAAGTAAGAGACTGAACTGTTACAAAATTACACTTGAGTGTCTGCCAAAAAACGTGGATTTCTATAAGAAGTTTGGCTATTCGGTATCTGAAGAAAACTACATGTTTCAACGGTTCTTTAACTAAGACCTTCTAGTCATTTTTTTTTTTTGTAAAGACTGTTGGTGGAGGAGCTTGTGCTACAAACATTCTCTTCATGGAAAATTTATATAGTTTATTGCTGCAAATATAACAATCCCTATAAATAATGAACATCAAATGTGTAAATCCTGAAAAAAAAAATTACTGACATTTTAGAAGGGTCCTCTGGGTTAGAAAATGAGCGCTTAGAACTAATTTTTACTACTGTTCAGTCTAAGTGAAGCTTTTTTGTTCTAGCTGAGTTACAAAGGACTCTTGTTAAAGGGATGGTTTTTAACCAAAGGTATATATTTTTATCTCAAATTTTTTCTTGCATTGTATTTTTCTAAAGGTTTGTGCTTCTTTTCTTGGTAGCCAAAGTACAGCTTGCAGGATTGTTCTGTTGTCTGTATTTCGCGGAAGGATGACGTAGCTCGGGTAGGGATGATGCTTCCCTTGTGCAGAATAGTGACACAGAACGGGCACTTGTTCTGTTCTTTCCATGAAAGCTCACTGACGTGCTGTTGATGTTAGCGTACCTAAAGTTTTGTAGGCACTATTTTCCAAAACCAAATTTGTTACTATTTGTTGCGGGTAGGGGAGAATCCTTACAGGCTATGCTAAAGCTGATGTTCTGAGTCTTAAAAAAAAAAAATATGTATGTGTACTACTCACTGCAGGGGTCCTGCACTTTAGCTGATAACTTAGTTTTCAGGATAATTATTTGTTTTCTGACAAAAACAACAACAAAAAACCCAACATGGCTTGTGACAGGGCAAAGGTAACTGGGAAACTGGAATGTCTGACAGAGAATACACCCCGTCTTTAGTGGGGCTCTGGCCAGTACTCATGGGGAATGTGATTTGGGATTGGCAGTAACGCATTCAGCTTCACCGAATGCTCTACTTGAACTCCTGAGGGCCAGGGGGGCTGCAGTTTTGCTGGTAACGGCTTACACCTACGGTGTAGTAAACGGGCAGAGAAATCCCCCATCCTGGTCCCGAGGGAGTGCTGCTGCTTTGGAGCATCTCTCTTGCTATAAGATTAGATAAATGATTTTTAGCACTTTTGCCAGCGATGGCAAGCAAATAACGTACAAAGCCCTTGGTTTCAACAGTAGTGTTTTGTGCAGAGAGAGAGACAAATCCTACATCTATGAATAGGGCATTATAAATATGTGAAGGTTCGTACAGAACAGCTAGTCTTGTTTGTGAACAGTTAGGCCTTACAAAATGTTCCTTCATTGTGGTGTGGAGAGCTACTTTAAGCTGCGGTGGGGGTTCTATTTAATGTTCCTGATGGTACTCCACTCGATATACTGTTTCCTTGATGATGTCCATTTTATTTATTGATTATTTTTTTAAAAATCTTTGTTTAAGCTGAATAAATGAAGACTGCCAAATGTATCTGGTCTGTTTTTCATATTGCCGTGTTGTGCCTAGCGGTAGGTATCCAGAGTAACTGTGTACCTGTTGTCTTTCAGAACAGTACCGCCTGCTGCAACCACCTTTGTTTTCCTTTCCCTAGAGTGAAAAAGAACACATTTTTCAGACTCCAGATTGATTTTAAGCATGGGTCTGATGCACATTTGCATCTTTGCAAGGATGACTTCAATGAAGCAAGTCTGAGTCTTCAAAGGAAGTTCTCGGCTTATTCGCCTGCAGGCACAAACTCCCGAAGCCAGAGGTGTGCATCCAAACAGCTGGGCTGCTTACTTCATGGATCACTGAGAAAGCAAGTCCGAGACCTGCAGGTCTCGGAGCTCGGCTTAAGTTTCTAACCCAGTTAGGCCTAGTCACCCCATTTTCTTAGGGGTGTTCTCCCCTAAGGGAGAGCCAGGCTTCTCCCAGATGTGCTCTGCTGACAGAAGATCTAAGCGGCTTGAGCCCCAACTCTGAACTAATTGTATAAAATCAGCTACTGCTTCATGCTGGCCCAGATGACTGAAATAGATCTTCTTGCCTTTCATGGTTTTAATTAATTCTGAATTTCCACTAACTTAAAGTGGATTATTTGAATTCCTTGATATCTACACCATCTAAATAGCTCCAGGCCCTCATTAAGAGTTAATGAAAAGATTAGTGCAAGTGAAGAGCAGGTGATTGTGTACCCAGCTTAGATCATTGTAAAACAAATGAATTAAGTTGAAAGCCTGGGTTTGTGGCTGCATGACAATGCCTCTGCTGGGCAAAATCCAGCTCATCAGCATCCCTTTAGCTTTGAAGAGCCCTTTGTTCTGTACCAGGGGTGACATTCCCAACCTCGGCAGGCTACCATCCCTGTGGAAACGGCAGTTACAGTGGCTCTGTGTGTCAGGAATTCCTCTGGAGGAAGACTGGACTCAGTGTACAGTCTTTTACCTGAGGAAAGGAGCTGATACTACCCAGGCTGGGGACTTAAAATGCTGCCATGGTTTCAGGCATGCCCCAGCCACCTAGAAGAACACCTAGTATGCAGGTACGTATATTTTAAACTGTCACAGTTCACAGGAACCAGGAAAACGTCACAAATAACAGTATTTAACAGCAACAGGTGGTATTAAAATACATTATGTGTCTCCTAAACTGAAGAAGCCCTGTTCATTTATCTACAATACAATTGGTTCAACAGGAAAGAGCAAGACCTCCCCATCCCAGGGGCCAGAGGAACCTAGGATTTTGTCAGAAATCAGCAATACTACCTGCTTCTCCAGAGGTTTCATGTTACCTCCTCCTTGGGATTTCAGGTTTTGGGTAACAGGAAGAGATCTCCAGCTCTTTCACTCTGCTTCCCTTAAGCTAGAATAGGGAACTTTAGCACCTTAACACATAGCTGTGGATCCCCAAAGATCTGGGTACTGCAGCTTTGTGTCTGAACATGGGGAAGCTGGGGGGGGGTGGCAGGGAATAAAAAAATTCAGCCTCTACTGATACTCTAAGGCCACAGTGAGGGACCTCTGCTGCTATCTACCACCTTTGGTTTAACCCCAGAAAGCAAACAGTGATTGAAATACCTACCAGCAGTAAACCAAATGAGACAGATGTCAAGAAGTTTTAAATAAAAGGCTTAAATAGTAGAATCCCTTAGGATCTGAGAGGCTGTTGTCTGTGAGGCAGTAGGCAGACAGACCAGAATGACTGTAGAACACATCAGCAGGGGGTAACAGGATGGAAGAAAAGAAAGATTGCTGGAAAATCCTTAGTCATGAAGCTTGTTAGTTTGCGAAACAGGCTCCCTGGGGAAGCATCAGGACCCCAGCGAAATGACAGAACCAGACTACACATGAACAAACCTCTCTGGCAGGGGATACTTAGATGAATCAACAGTGTTCTTCCATCTGTGTTCCGTCTCTACCCCTTCCCAAGGGAGCTGAAATAGAAAGCAATTTTATGCAGAAGTTCTGGTTCCCATCCTTGTTTCATCAGAAGCTTGTAGCTGGCAGTGTTTGGCGAGCTGTGCAAAAAGAGACAGACACCCATGCGGTAGCCTCGTGGGGTAATTGGTGAAACATCTGAGAGTGTATTTCCCAACAGCCCCAGTTTAAAAGAGTCACTTAACAGCACATAATAAACCCTGTAACTGCAAAACCAGCACGGCATGTTTAGCTGGTCAACTTAACACTGACAAGTTGTAGTTCTTAAGGAGATAACAGTCACACTTTGTTTTTTCAAGCTGAAAATTTGCTAACTAAATAAAGCATCATACATTTCTTAAAGATTTATTCTGAAGGATTTGCACTGCCCTATCACTGATGTACATGGCAAAGGACAGATAGCAATAAAGGGAAAGGGCTGCTGAATGCTGGTTCAGCTCCACTGAAGCCATGAACCCTAGAATCGTAGAATTGTTTAGGTTGGAAAGGATCTTTAAGATCATCAAGTCCAACCATTAACCCAGCACAGCCAAGCCCACCACTAAACCATGTCCCTAAGCACCACACCTACACATCTTTTAAATACCTCCAGGGATGGGGACTCCACCACTTCCCTGGGCAGCCTCTTCCAGGGCTTGACAACCCTTTCCGTGAAGAAATTTTTCCTAATATCCCATCTAAACCTCTTCTGGTGCAACTTGAGGCTATTTCCTTTTGTCCTGTCACTGGTTGCCTGGGAGCAGAGACCGACCCCCACCTGACTACCCCCTCCTTTCAGGTCGTTGTAAGGAGCGATCAGGTCTTCCCTTAGCCTCCTCTTCTCCAGACCAAACCCCCCCAGCTCCCTCAGCCACTCCCCATCAGACTTGTGCTCCAGACCCCTTACCACCTTCGTTGCCCTTCTCTGGACTCCCTCCAGCACCTCAAGGGCTTTCTGGTGGTGAGGGGCCCAGAACTGAACACAGCACTCGAGGTGTGGCCTCACCAGTGCCGAGTACAGGGGGACGATCACTGCCCTGGTCCTGCTGGCCACACAATTTCCTCCCCATATGCAGGACTCCAGAGCCTTCACATTCCACATGAGGCTATTAGGCTATAAAGCCTCACCCAGGTGTCCTGGCTCAGCTAAAAGCCCTGACTTACTGCAGGAGGATTTCCTCCTCCCTCAGGTGTCACCGAGATCTGTTCTAGCAGCATGCTTTAACCCAGGCAGGAGTTTTCAAACCAGAATCTGCTAACTATTTGTAAGAGCCTTGACACAGACCAAGAGCTCAGACTTGCTCAGGAGGGACTGCCCCTCAGCCAGCCTTCCCAGGAGCTGCAAGACAAGGCAGAGGATCAGTGACTAAGCAAAGATCAGCAAGTCACAGGCGTGGTCACCTTGCCTTGAATACACAGAGTGAGGCAGAACTTCTACAAAGTAAACAGGCTACCAGCAAAGTAAATGCACTGCTGCACTGGATCCTCACAGTATAAAATGGCTTCACTGTTCAGATTCATGCCTTCAAATTCAAAGACACCCACCCTCAGAGCGTGCCCCTCAGCACAGGTTGCTCATCCCGAGGCTGACAGAGGACACTGGCTGTTCACACAGACATATCAGGATACGGGGAGTTAGCTGGATGCTCAGATCCCTAAATATCTTTTAGATTGATTCAACTCCCTTGAGCCCACCCATTCCTCCCTGTTAAAATACAGTCTTAATTACAAGCTCAGATTTCCCAAATACACAAGATCTTCTAACAGCTTTGTAATTTGCTCAGTCACCACAGTGCTCTAAAGGAGCCATCATTTCATTCGTATCTTTTATGCAACAGATTGATTGGCAAATAAAGCAGAGATGCAGAACTGGGACTGTACTTGCACAGCCAGTGGTTATCACAGTGCTTCTGAGAAAGGAGAAGAGTTAAAGCTGCACAAACCACCTTGGCAATTTCCAATTTGAAAACTTTAAAGCACTGTTAAGC